GTATAACACTGTACTACGACAGATGCGATAGACTGATGGTTGTGAAATAAACGGTTCATTTACTTAAAAGTTTCCATTAGAAAAATTTTAAGGTAGGTAGTTGGGTACAATAATCCTTTTTTCTAGAAAATCTTCAACGGTCTTGCCGCAAAATGCCGAAAAAGAACATCTGGTTAAAAGCTTTAATTCATTATCAACGGAAGTAAGGATTTAAAGTCATAAAATCTATGGAGTATTTTTCCAATCCTAAAATAAAATTTTATTACCCAAACGACCGGAACCTATTCACAGAAAGGGTCTTGAGTAAGTGTACTTCAATGGTCAAGTCCAGGTAAAATGCATACGATACGATACGGCTAACTAACAAGTATTTGTCATCCCGACAAGGCCGGCATTTGAACAAAATATGCATTAAAACTCATATTCGTCGAAAAAAGCATTAAATAAGCATATAAGTTTTAATATGCATAAAATTGAAAAAAAAAGCAAGTTTTGAAGTGCTTACATTTTTCACAAAAAGCATTAAACCTAGAAATCCGCTCTCTACAGATGACTAAAATTATTCATAAACCTCCATTGAACAAAATATTCTGAATGTTATTATTATAATCCTTACCTTATCATTATTTTATTGTTATAAAGACGAGCGGATTCTCACATTTTCCAGAAAATGGGGTGGCTCGTTCTTAATTTGATCAATAATAAATTGACTGGTTCATAATTCTTTTGAGTCACCTGTTTAAGCAAATCTAAAAAATATGAATGCAAGGATTAAAAGTCTGTTCATATTTTGCACATTTGAGAAAGAATTTATTCGGCAAAATTTTGAGATGCCGTAATCAATTTTTTGGGGTTGATAAATAGATGCATTTTCATTAAAAAGTTACCATGCTTACAATAACTTCAAAACATCTACCTTTCAAAGTATTCAGTTTTGCAATTCTTGATTTAATCAGTAAAATAAATTGACTCAGTCATTAATTGTTTTCACGCATCCCCTATAAGCAAATCTAAAAAATATTTTTGCAGTGATAAATCACAGTTATAGACCCATCATACTTTGCATAATGCGTATTTAAGATAGCATTTTTTCGGAAAAATTTTGGGGTGGCGTTATCAATTTTTTTGATCAAACATTTACCATGCCTATGTTAACTGTAAAACATCTCCAAGATTTCAAAGCATTTGGTTTTGTAGTTCCTGGTTAAATACATAAAATAAATTCACGCATTCATTAATTTTTTTGAGTCATCCTGTACATGCAAATCCAAAAAATATGAATGGAATGATAAATTCCAAACACAGACTCATCATATTTTCTACATTTTGCATAGAATTTATTCGACAAATTATTTAGATTACGTCATCAATTCTTTGGAGGCGACAAGTAAACGTATTTTGAATAAAAACGTATCATGCCTATTATAACTGTAAACTATTTGCAAGATTTCAAAGCATTCGGTTTTGCAGATTCCAAATTAAGTGAATTTTCTTGGCGACCCTGGTCTTTAATTTTTAGAAGAATTTGAAAGAATCTTGGGGGCATTTGATGTTTTGTTTAAAATCTGCAAGTTTTTTGCCAAAATCAGTCTTATCTTAACAAGTACCAGCCCCACTTGCCGGCCCTTTATTTTCCTAGAAGGTATATCAATTGCCAAAATCAGTCGTATCTTAGGAACTACTAGCCCCGCCCACCCGCCCTCTCTGTTTTTGGAAGATATATGATTTGCCAAAATAAGTCTTTTCTTAACAAGTACTAACCCCGCCCACCCTCCCTCTGTTTTCTTAGAAGGTATATCATCTGCCAAAGTTAATCTTATCTTAGCAAGTACAAGTTCCGCCCACCCTTCGTATATTTTCTTAGAGGCTAGGTATATCATTTGCCAAAATAAGTCTTATCTTAACATGTATTAGCCCTGCCTACCCGCTCTCTATTTTCTTAAAGGGTATATCATTTGCCAGAATCAGTCATATCTTATCAAGTACTAGCCCCACCCGCCTGCCCTTTGTTTCGTTAGAGAGTATGTCATTTGCCAAAATCAGTCGTATCTTAGTAAGTACTAAACCCGCCCACCCACCCTCTGTTTTCTTAGAGGGTACATCATTTGCCAAGATCAGTCGTATCTTAGGAATTACTAACCCCGCCCACCCGCCCTCTCTGTTTTTGGAAAATATATGATTTGCCAAAATAAGTCTTATCTTAACAAGTACTAACCCCGCCCACCCTCCCTCTGTTTTCTTAGAAGGTATATCATCTGCCAAAGTTAGTCTTATCTTAGCAAGTACAAGTCCCGCCCACCTTTCCTATATTTTCTTAGAGGTTAGGTATATCACTTGCCAAAATAAGTCTTATCTTAACATGTACTAGCCCCGCCCACCAGTTCTCTATTTTCTTAAAGGGTATATCATTTGCCAAAATTAGTCTTATCTTAACAAGTACTAGCCCCACCCACCTGCCTTTCATTTCTTTAGAGGATTAAGACTGATTTTGGCAGATGATATACCCCCTAAGAAAACAGAGGGTGGGTGGGCGGGACTTGTACTTGCTAAGATAAGACTGATTTTGGCAAATGATATACCCTCTAAGGAAACAGAGGGCGGGTGGGCGGGGCTAGTACTTCCTAAGATACGACTGATTTATTCGGCAAACTTTTGAGGCGACGTCATCAATTTTTTGGAGGGGACAATTAAATATATTTTGAATAAAAACTTATCATGCTTATCATAAATGTAAACCATCTGCAAGATTTCAAAGCATTCGGTTTCGCAGATTGCAAATTAAATGGCAAAATGTTGTTTCCTAATTTTGATTTTTTTTTCCAAAAATCTGGACGTTTCGGGTAAAATCTCAATTCGGAGTCATAAACTACATGTGTAAGACTATGTTATTTGATTCAATTGAAAACCCATTTACTATGTACAATTTTGAAGTGACGTCATCAGTATTTTATTATTTTATTATTCTCGATAATATAAAAAACCGAAAACCTGAAAATCTGAAGCAATACAAAAAACTCATTTAACTCAAAAAATCCATCCAAAAAATCGAATGCATGAAAAAAATTCAAAAAAATTTAAAAAGCAATAAAAAAGCCTGAAAAGTAGAAAAAAAACTAAGAAATGTAAGAAACCCAAGAAACTCAAGAAATCCGGTAATTCAAAAAAAAATCGAAAATACCAAAATTTTGAAAAATCCAGAAAATGGAAAATGTTCCAAAAATCCAAGAAATAAAAAAATAAAAAAATTGAATTAACGAAAAAATCGAATAAACCCAAATATAAGGAAAAACAAAAAACCAAAAAATCTAAATATGTAATTCAAACAATTCAAAAAAATTCAAAAGACCCAAAAAAATGAAGAAATTCAAAAAAACCCAAGAAATCCAATAATTTCAAAAACCAAAAAATCCCAAAAAATCCAAAAAACCTTAAAAATGGATAAAACCCAGAAAACTCAACAAATCCAATAAACCAATAAAAAAATCCAAAAATCTGAAAAATTCAAGAAACGACTAAGGAAACTCAAAAAATTTAAGAAATTCAATAATTACAAAAATTCACAAAACGGAAAACATTTATTCTCGAAAATATAAAAACTCAAAACAAACACAAACAAATTCCAAAAAATGGAAAAAATCGAAGAAATCCAAAAAAACTTAAGAAACTCGAAAAATCCAAAAAAAATCTAAGAAATACAAGAAACCCAAGAAACTCAACACATCCAATAATCCAAAAAATCGAAAATATCAAATTTTTATAAATCCAGAAAATGGAAAATGTTCCAAAATTCCAAAAAATAAGAAAATAAAAAAATTGAATGAACCAAAAAATCGAAAAAACCCAAAAATAAAGAAAAACAAAAAACCAAATAATCTAAATATGTAATTCAAACAATTCAGAAAAATTCAAAAAAACCCCAAAAAAAACCGAAAAAATTAAAAAAAAACAAGAAATCCAATAATTTCAAAAAACCGAATAATTCTAAAAATCCAAAAAACCTAAGAAATGCAAAAAACCTAGAAACTCAACAAATTCAGTAAAGCAAAAAAAAAAATCCAAAAATCTAAAAAATTAAAGAAACCAAGAGAACTCAAAAAAATTTAAGAAATTCAGAAAATGGAAAATATTTATTTATTCACGAAAATATAAAAAACCGAAAACCTAAAAATCCGAAGCAATCCAAAAAACTCATTTAACTCAAAAAATCCATCCAAAAAATCGAATGTATGCAAAAAATCCAAAAATTGAAAAAGCAATATAAAAAAAATTTGAAAAATGGAAAAAAATCTAAGAAATGTAAGAAACGCAAGAAACTCAAGAAATTCAGTAATTCAAAAAAAATACCAAAATTTTTAGAAATCCAGAAAATGGAAAATGTTCCAAAAATCCAAGAAATAAAAAAAAATTTAATCAACCAAAAAATCTAAATATGTAATTCAAACAATTAAAAATATTCAAAAAAGCTAAAAAACCGAAGAAATTCAAAAAAGTCCAAGAAATCCTATGATTTCAAAAACCAAAGACTCACAAAAATCCAAAAAATTCAAGAAACCAAGGGAACTCAAAAAATTTAAGACATTCAACAGTTCCAAAAATCCACAAAATGGAAAATGCTCCAAAAATTCAAAAAAATAAAAAAATTGAATTAATCAAAAAATCGAATAAACCCACAAATAAAAAACTAAAAAATCTAAATAATTCAAACAATTCAAGACATCAAAAAAAAAACGAGAAAACCAATAATTTCAAAAATCCAAAAACCCAAGAAATGCAAGAAACCCAAGAAACTCAAGAAATCCAATAAACCAAAAAATCAAAGAATCGAAAAAATCCAAAAATCTAAAAATTCAAGAAACCCAAAAATCCAAGAAATTCAACAGAATTATTTTCACAGTCAAACAAATCTGTAAATTTTGTAAAGTTTGAGGTTTTGTCGAAACCAACAAAGTGAATAGGTATATGGCAGATCAAAATTAATAAGAAACTTTCGCAATGTGTAACTAATTTTTTTTAATTTTTGTGTGGTGCCATGATAAAGATACATTTCTGAAAACACTCCAGTTCTCTTAATCCACCGGTCTGATCATCATTCTAACTTGCTTCAAACTGTACTCATATCCATGAAATGAGTTCCAGTGTATGTTACGATGATTTTTGGTTAGACCTGGGCCGATATATTCACCCGTAAGATAGCCATAGAAGCAATTAAGAAACCACCACGAGCCATCTGCATAAATTCAAAGTAAATTACAATAAAAACAAACACTCAAACATCTTTAAAGAAACTTACGACGAGTGGCAGCGCAGTTTTCATCATCCTTTGTATCCTGGTCCCTATCTGGTGTTGAAAATTTCATATTTACATGCTGCGAAAAAGAATCTCCAGCATCTCCCTCAAATTTTCCTACCGCTTTGATTTGATATCCTTCGCCTTCATTTCCAATTATAAACTCGTCATACCTTGCGTAAACTTTCTTCAAACCCCAATCCTCAAGCTCGAACAACAATTCATTCCGTTTACTATCTACATATCCAAAAAAATTAAAACCAAGCAAATACAAAACCCATAACTCGCCTGTTAAATGATACAAATGTTCCAGCCCCAACCAAAACTCTCCCGAAGGATCACCAAACCCGATCTTGTAGTCGGTCCAGTTTCGGAAAAAATCCACCGAGCCGTCAAACCTATTGACAACGTAAGTCCAGCCGCCCCCCCTTGTTGTCAAGTCGCACCATGCCCAGAACTCCTCCGGAGAGTATTTAGGTTTAATTTTGTACATACCGGAAGCTTTGTGGCCGCGTCGCAGCACCTCTTGACAGTCCTGCGGGGAAAAAATCTTCTGCTCTGGGTGTCTTTCGGTTAAGGCAAGCAATTCGGCTTTTGTTGCTTGTATCTGGGCTTTCAGTTCCATAATTTGGGCATCGTGAAGTTTTAATTTATCTTTCAAGCCTGTCACACAAACGTTGTTGACATTTTGTTGGTTGGGAGGCGGTGGTGACGTGGAGACAACCCAGAACTGAAAATAGTTAAGGTTCAGGTGTTTCTAGGTGTGTTATACTCACTCCAGGATTGTCAGAATTTCCTGCAATTGCGTTGTTGAGCACAAGAAGTGTCAAAAGTAATACGAATGTTCTCGACGGCATCGTTTTACTAATAGTTATGGAAAATCGATGTGTTGTGCGGCTTTAAATATTTTCGAAGTGTGTATTTAATTATTATCTGGAATCCACAACATTCCATTGTGATACGTCCGACGACCATCTAAATTTAGAGTTTAGTACGAAGAAACTAAATATTGTATCTATTTATCGTCTGATGGTTGCAGAAATTAATTCGCGACCTTAAAAAACAATGTAAAATGTTGTTTAAATCAACAAAACCATTAAATTATATATTTAGTTTATGTTAAGTATTAGACGAAAAGTCTTGAAAGTCGGATCAGACCGTATCTCATTTTAACCAAAAATATCGACCATGTTTCCAATAGTATTTATGAAGTTCGTATGCTGAAAACATTGATGATAACTCCTTTTCCAAATTTCCATAAATAATTGAGAAATTGTAATTTTTTTAAATATACATCTTGAGTTTTCTGAGAAATTTCACCAACAATTTAAAATTTACAACGCTCCTCCGCAATAATGTAAGGGATGAATAACGCTCAAGGGCGATGCAAGTTCTGATCTGAATAAATAACTTGGTACCAATTTTTTTTAAACACGTTCTTATTGTTACTATTAAACTAATATGTATTAATTACCATTATTATTAGGAATGCACAAAACAAATATTGTTGGGTTCCCGACGATTATCTAAATTTAAATTTTAGTAAGATTAAATTAAATATTGTATGTAATTATCTATTTATTTACCTTGTATGTGACAGAAACGCTAAATAATTGACGGGATGTGTTTATTTAGTAAAGTTATTGAAGCGGAAAATCAAAAAAATTACTCAAAAGTGATTTCAACAAAACTTCCCTTTCCCTGTAATGAAGTCATCAACATTTTTGCAAAGACATATTTTTTACTTCCTGAGCGTAAAATCGAAGAAAGAAAAGTCGGAAAAAAAATCGGACGTCGAAAACTTGAAGATCGAAAAATTGATAAATCGAAAATTCGAAAAACCTCAAATAGAAAAATAAAATCTGGAAGTAAAAATATTGACAATCGAAAATTGCAAAATCGAAGGTTCGAAAACTCAAAAATCCAAAAATCGAAAATTTGGGAAATTGAAAAATCGAAACGTAACAAAATTTAGAAGACTAAAACTTGAAAAACCTAAAATTTGGAAAATTAAAAATTCTAAATCCAAAATTTAATGTACCGAAAATCGAAAATTTTAAAAATCCAGAACATTGAAAAGTTCCCAAAACTGAAATATTGAGAAATTCAAACGGAAAATTCTAAAAATGTATAAAATCGAAATTAAAAAATCAAAGAATCGAAACAGTTGAACTAAAAAAAAAATCGAAATTCAAATGTTGAAAAATTAAAAAAAAATGACATTTCGAAAAATCTGAAATTCGAAAAAACGAAAAATTGGAATTTAAAAAAAAAATTTACATATCGGGAAATCGCTACATCAAAAATCGTGAAATCGAAAAATTGAAAAATCAAGAATTCGAGAAATCAAAAAATTGAAAAACTGAAAAGTCCAAAACCAACAAGTTGAAAAATTAAATGGCTGCGAATTTTAAACATCAAAAAATTGAAAAATTTAAAATCAATAAATTCGAAAAAAATTTTAAAAAATCGAAAATCTGAAAAATTGAAAATTTGAAAAATCGGAAAATCAAAAATAGAAAATAAAAGATTCGAATAACCGAAAATCGAAGAATCGAAAGATCGAGAAATTGAAAATCAAAAAATCGGGAAAAAGAAAACACGAAGAAACAAAAAATCGTAAATAAAGAAATCGAAAAATCGAAAATTCGTAAAACGTCAAATGGGAAAATAAAATCAATAAGCAAAAATATTGAAAATCAAAAATTCAAAAAATCTAAAATTGTAAAATCGAACATTCGAAAACTCAGAAATCTAAAAATCGAAAATTTGGGAAATCGAAAAACCGAAAAGTAACAAAATTTAAAAAATTAAAAATCCTAAATCCAAAATTTGATGCACTGAAAATCGAAAAATTCAAAAATCCGGAAATTGAAAAGTTCCCGAAACTGAAATTTTGAGAAACTGGAAACTTGAAAAATCGACATATCAAAATTTTTCTTTAAATGAAAAACTGTAAAACTTAAGAAACGGAAAAACTTTTTAAAATCGGAATTAAAAAATCAAAGAATCGAAAAATTGAAAAATCGGCAAAGCTTGAACTAAAAAAATCCAATTTGAAATATCGAAAAAGTAAAAAAACGAGATGTCGAAAAATCAAAAAATCGAATTTTAGAAAAATTACGTATCGGGAAATCGCAACATCAAAAATCGTAAAATCAAGAATTCGAAAAATGTAAAATTTAAGATAGGTATGCAAAAATAGCGAAAAACTGAAAAATCGAGAAACCCAAATATAAAATCATTGAAAAATTGAAAATGTATAAAATCGAAATTAAAAAATCAAAGAATCGAAACAGTTGAACTAAAAAAAAAAAAAATCGAAATTCAAATGTTGAAAACTTAAAAAAAATGACATTTCGAAAAATCTGAAATTCGAAAAAACGAAAAATTGGAATTTAAAAAAAAAATTACATATCGGGAAATCGCAACATCAAAAATCGTGAAATCGAGAAATTGAAAAATCAAGAATTCAAGAAATCAAAAAATTGAAAAACTGAAAAATCCAAAACCAACAAGTTGAAAAATTAAATCGCTGCGAATTTTAAACTAAAAAAATTGAAACATTTAAAATCAACAAATTCGAAAAATTGAAAAACAGAAAAATCGAAAAACTGAAAAATCGAGAAATCCAAAAATCTAAAATTTAAGATATACAAAAATTGCGAAAAATTCAAAAATCGAGAAACCCAAATATCAAATCATTGAAAAATTGAAAAATTTAAGATGCAAAATCTAAAATTTGGAAAATCGGAAAACCAAAAATAGAAGATAAAAAATTCGAATAACCGAAGATCGAATAATCGAATAATCGAGAAAGTGAAAATCAAAAAATCGGGAAATTGAAAACTCGAGAAACAAAAAATCGTAAATAAAGAAATCGAAAAATTGAAGATTCGAAAACTCAAAAATCCAAAAATCGAAAATTTGGGAAATTGAAAAACCGAAAAGTAACAAAATTTAAAAGTCTAATAAAACTTGAAACACCGAAAATTTGAAAAATTAAAAATCCTAAATCCAAAATTTGATGCACTGAAAATCGAAAAATTCAAAATTTCCCAAAACTGAAATATTGAGAAACTGGGAACTTGAAAAATCGAGATATCAAAATTTTTCTTTAAATCGAAAAATGTAAAACTTAAGAAACGGAGAAACTCTAAAATTTATAAAATCGAAATTCAAAAATCAAAGAATCGAAAAATTGAAAAATCGGAAAAGTTTGAACTAAAAAAAATCGAATTTGAAATATCGAAAAATTAAAAAAACGAGATGTCGGAAAATCGAAAAATTAAATTTTAGAAAAATCAAAAAAGTGAAAAACGAAGAATTTCAAAAAATAAAAAATTCGAAAAACTGAAGGACAGAACATTGAGGAGACAAAATATCGAAAAATTAAAGAATATAAAAATTGATAGAGTGAGAAGTCGAAAATTTTAAAAATTTAAAAATTAAAAAATTGAAAAACTAAAAACTTGACAAATCCAAAATTCGACGAAAATTAAAGAATTGAAATACTCAAAAAAAGTTCATTCATTAATCGAGAAATCGAAAAAACGTAAAATCGAAAAAACGTAAAATCAAAAAATCGGGATATTGAAAAATCGTAAAAAATCGAAATTGATGTTTCGAAAAATTCAAAATAAAAACGAGATGTCGAAAAATCAAAACATCAAAAAATTGGTCGAAGCATATTTCGACAGAACTTCCCTCGCCTCTGATATTTTTCGAAAAATTATAAAACTTGAATATGCGAATTTAATTTTTTTATGAGAATCCTTATTAGTTAAAATAAATATATGTATATTTTACCATGTACATTATATTCCTAATATAAACACAAAATTTGACAACAATCAGCCCATTACTTTCGGAGATTATCTGTCTGCTAGAAATCCGTGACAGCTCACAGACAGACGGACAGACAGACAGACGGAAACGGAAGATCTATTTCTTCGTACTGTAGGGGTCATGAACAGTCGAGAAAACGTAATCTCCGAAAGTACTGGGCTGATTGTTGTCAAATTTTGTATTCATATTAGGTCTATCATGTAGATGGTAAAACGCTAACCAAAATTTGTCTAATCATCCCCACCACTAATCTGATGACGTCACTTCAAAATTGTACATAGCAATTGGGTTTTAAATAGTATCAAACAACACAGTCTCACACATGTGGTTTATGACTCCGAATTGAGATTTTATTCGAAAAATCCAGATTTTTGGGAAAAAAATCAAAATTAGGAAACAACATTTTGACATTTAATTTGAAATCTGCAAAACCGAATGCTTTGAAAGCTTGCAGATGTTTTAAGGTTATAAAGAGCATAATAAATTTTTAGTCAAAATATATTTGGTTATCTTCTAAATGTAGAAAATATGATGAGTCTGTACTTTTAATTTATCATTCCATTCATATTTCTTGGATTTGCATATACAGGGTGGCTCAAAAAAATATCTGAACCGTCGGCGTTGTCATCCGGTTATTGCAATTCGTAGAAACTATGTTTTAGTTGAGTTTGTGTTGAACCTAAACTGAAAGAAGGAACACTCAAACTCGGGTAAAAGGATCGTCGGTGTCTCAAAATTTCATTAGTAGAAAATAATTAAACCAAACTAATACAACGTTTTCCACATAAGTGTTATATACAGGTATAACTCAAAAGCACTACAAAATATCAAAAAGCTTTATTTATATCAAAATGGCGAAGTGATAAAGATACATTTTTGAGTGAAATGAGCCCCACTTTATTCCAGATCTGTCAATCTATAGGTCGGATCATCATTCGAACTTGCTTCAGACTGTATTGAGGTACATGGAATGAATTCCAGTGTATGTTTTGGTTATTTTTACCTTGACCTCGGTCGGCATACACGCCTGTGAGTTGACTGTCGAAGCAATTTTTATACCACCATGAGGCTTCTGCAAAAAGCAACAACAAATTACGATAAAAACAAACAATAAAACATTTCATTTTGCGATTTTTTTTATGACAACCAGTGTAAGGTTAATGTTCCAGAGCATTCGGTTTTTCAGTTTCATAGGTAACTTGTAAAAGCAACATGGAAAAAACATGAAAGTAGCCATTCGTTGCGTAGACCTTTTATCAGTTCTAAAACTTACTAAAACTAAGAGTGCACTTTCCAGGACTCTGGTCCCTATCCGGAGTAGAAAATTTCATATTTACGTGTCGTGACAAAGAATCTCCTGTACCTTGTTGAAATTTTCCTACCGATTTGAGTTCATATCCTTCACCTTCATTCCCAATTATGAACTTGTCATACCCTGCGTTCATTTTCTTCATATCCCAATCCACAAGTTCGAACAACAATTCATTCCGTTTACTCCCTACATATTCAAAAATATAAAAACCATAGAAGCACTTTAACCCACAACTCGCCTGTTAAATGGTACAAATGTTCCAAGCCCAACCAAAACTCTCCCGAAGGATCACCAAACCCGATCTTGTAATCGGTCCAGTTTCGCAAAAAATCCACCGAGCCGTCGAACCTGTTGAGAACGTAAGTCCAGCCGCCCTGACTTGTCGTCAAGTCGCACCATGCCCAGAACTCCTCCGGAGAGTATCTAGGTTTAATTTTGTACATACCGGAAGCTTTGTGGCCGCGTCGCAGGACCTCTTGACAGTCCTGCGGAGGAAAAATCTTCTGCTTTAGGTGTTTTTCGCTTAAGCCAAGCATTTCTTTTTTTGTTGCTTGTAGCTGGGTCTTCAATTCCATAAGTTGGGCATCGTGAAGTTTTAGTTTTTCTTTCAGAGCTGCTACAGAATCGTTATCGGCATTTTGTTGGTCGGAAGACGGTTCTGTCGTGGAGACAACCCAGAACTAAAAATAGCGAGATTCTGGTGTTTCTAGGTATCTTATGCTCACTCTGGAGTTAGAATTTTGTGCAATTGTGGTGTTGAGGACAAGAAGTGCCAAAAACATGAAGAGTGTGGTCGACCACATTTTTTAGCTTGATTGGTTTTGTGCAACTGATCTGCAGACTGAAATGTTAGTGAACCCTGTTTTTATTTTTTTTTTTCTATAAGGCGCGATAAAAAGAATTCGATAAGCTTGACCCCTGTTTAAATTTAGACTTACTTAGCAAATATTATGTTTGCTCTGTTTGATTCTTTTGCCTGCATAGTCTTCTTGAAAAGTTGAAGACTAAAGTTGTTAACTGAAATAAGAACATAATTAACATTATTTTCAAATTTGTAGTTACTCCCTGTGAGGGGTTAATTAGATCAACTTATGATTTGAACACTTTTCTTCTTCTTTTTACTTCCCGACCGTAAACAAAGCAAGTATCGAGTCCGTCGGCCGACTCTCTACTTTTGCATTTTCTCCACCTATCATGACCCCTAGAGGACGAAGAAATAGGTCTCCCGTTTCCGTCTGTCTGTCCGTCTGGCTGGCGTCCCGGATTTTTGTTGGACAGATAATCTCCGAAATTACTGGGCTGATTGTTGTCAAATTTTGTATTTATATTAGGTATATCATGTAGATGGTAAAACGCTAACCAAAAGTTGTCTAATCATCCCCACCACTAATGTGATGACGTCACTTCATGAAAAAAGAGATACCAAAAAATCGGAGAAAGAAAAATCGGAAATGGAAAAATTGAAAAACCGAAAATTCGAAAATCAAAAATAGGAAATCGAAAACTCGAAGATCGAAAAATCTGAAACCGAGAGGTAAAAATACTGAAAATCGAAAATTGCAAAATCGAAGGTTCGAAAACTCAAAAATCCAAAAATCGAAAATTCGTGAAATAGAAAAATCGAAATGTAACAAAATTTAAAAGACTAAAACTTGAAAAACAGAAAATTTGAAAAATTAAAAGTTCTAAATCCAAAATTTAATGTACCGAAAATCGAAAATTTTAAAAATCCACAACATTGAAAAGTTCCCAAAACTGAAATATTGAGAAACCCAAACGGAAAGTTCTAAAAATGTATAAAATCGAAATTAAAAAATCAAAGAATCGAAACATTGAAAAATCGGAAAAGGTTGAACTAAAAAAATCGAAATTGAAATGTTGAAAAATTAAAAAAAAATTAGATCGAAAAATTGTAATTTAAAAAAAAAATACATATCGGGAAATCGCAACATCAAAAATCGTGAAATCGAACAATTGAAAAACTGAAAAATCCAAAACCAACAAGTTGAAAAATTAAATGGCTGCGAATTTTAAACATCAAAAAATTGAAAAACAAAAAAATCGAAAATCAAAAATCGGAAGTCGAAAACTAGAAGTTCGAAAAATCTGAAACCGACAAGTAAAAATATTGAAAATCGAAAATTGCAAAATCGAAGGTTCAAAAAATTCAAAAATCCAAAAATCGAAAATTTGGGAAATTGAAAAATCGAAAAGTAACAAAATTTAAAAGACCAAAACTTGAAAAACGGAAAATTTGAAAAATTAAAAATTCTAAATCCAAAATTTAATGTACCGAAAATCGAAAATTTTAAAAATCCAGAACATTGAAAAGTTCCCAAAACTGAAATATTGAGAAACTCAAACGGAAAATTCTAAAAATGTATAAAATCGAAATTAAAAAATCAAAGAATCGAAACATTGAAAAATTGGAAAAGGTTGAACTAAAAAAAATCGAGATTGAAATGTTGAAAAATTAAAAAAAATGAGATCGAAAAATTGGAATTTAAAAAAAAAATACATATAGGGAAATCGCAACATCAAAAATCGTGAAATCGAACAATTGAAAAACTGAAAAATCCAAAACCAACAAGTTGAAAAACTAAATGGCTGCGAATTTTAAACATCAAAAAATTGAAAAACAAAAAAATCGAAAATCAAAATTCGGAAGTCGAAAACTAGAAGATCGAAAAATTTGAAACCGACGGGTAAAAACATTGAAAATCGAAAATTGCAAAATCGAAGGTTCGAAAATTCAAAAATCCAAAAATCGAAAATTTGGGAAATTGAAAAATCGAAAAGTAACAAAATTTAAAAGACCAAAACTTGAAAAACCGAAAATTTGAAAAATTAAAAATCTAAATCCAAAATTTTTAATGTACCGAAAATCGAAAATTTTAAAAATCCACAACATTGAAAAGTTCCCAAAACTGAAATATTGAGAAACTCAAACGGAAAATTCTAAAAATGTATAAAATCGAAATTAAAAAATCAAAGAATCGAAACATTGAAAAATCGGAAAAGGTTGAACTAAAAAAAATCGAGATTGAAATGTTGAAAATTTAAAAAAAATGAGATCGAAAAATTGTAATTTAAAAAAAATACCAATAGGGAAATCGCAACATCAAAAATCGTGAAATCGAACAATTGAAAAACTGAAAAATCCAAAACCAACAAGTTGAAAAATTAAATGGCTGCGAATTTTAAACATCAAAAAATTGAAAAACAAAAAAATCGAAAATCAAAAATCGGAAGTCGAAAACTAGAAGATCGAAATATTTGAAACCGACAGGTAAAAACATTGAAAATCGAAAATTGCAAAATCGAAGGTTCGGAAATTCAAAAATCCAAAAATCGAAAATTTGGGAAATTGAAAAATCGAAAAGTAACAAAATTTAAAAGACCAAAACTTGAAAAACGGAAAATTTGAAAAATTAAAAATTCTAAATCCAAAATTTAATGTACCGAAAATCGAAAATTTTAAAAATCCAGAACATTGAAAAGTTCCCAAAACTGAAATATTGAGAAACTCAAACGGAAAATTCTAAAAATGTATAAAATCGAAATTAAAAAATCAAAGAATCGAAACATTGAAAAATTGGAAAAGGTTGAACTAAAAAAAATCGAGATTGAAATGTTGAAAAATTAAAAAAAATGAGATCGAAAAATTGGAATTTAAAAAAAAAATACATATAGGGAAATCGCAACATCAAAAATCGTGAAATCGAACAATTGAAAAACTGAAAAATCCAAAACCAACAAGTTGAAAAACTAAATGGCTGCGAATTTTAAACATCAAAAAATTGAAAAACAAAAAAATCGAAAATCAAAAATCGGAAGTCGAAAACTAGAAGTTCGAAAAATCTGAAACCGACAAGTAAAAATATTGAAAATCGAAAATTGCAAAATCGAAGGTTCAAAAAATTCAAAAATCCAAAAATCGAAAATTTGGGAAATTGAAAAATCGAAAAGTAACAAAATTTAAAAGACCAAAACTTGAAAAACGGAAAATTTGAAAAATTAAAAATTCTAAATCCAAAATTTAATGTACCGAAAATCGAAAATTTTAAAAATCCACAACATTGAAAAGTTTCCAAAACTCAAATATTGAGAAACCCAAACGGAAAATTCTAAAAATGTATAAAATCGAAATTAAAAAATCAAAGAATCGAAACATCGAAAAATCGGAAAAGGTTGAACTAAAAAAAAGAGTCGAAATTCAAATGTTGAAAAATTAAAAAAAATGAGATGTCGAAAAATCGGAAATTCGAAAAATCGAAAACTTGGAATTTTTTAAAAAAATTACATATCGGGAAATCGCAACATCAAAAATCGTGAAATCGAAAAAATGAAAAATTAAGAATTCGAGAAATCAAAAAATTGAAAAACTGAGAAATCCAAAACCAACAAGTTAAAAAATTAAATGGCTGCGAATTTTAAACATCAAAAAATTGAAAAATTTAAAATCAGTAAATTGGAAAAATTGATAAACAGAAAAATCGAAAAACTAAAAAATCGAAAATTTGGAAAATCGGAAAATCAAAAATAGAAAATAAAAAATTCGAATAACCGAAAATCGAAGAATCGAAAAATAGAGAAATTAAAAATCAAAAAATCGGGAAATCGAAAACACGAAGAAACAAAAAATCGTAAATAAAGAAATCGAAAATTCGAAAATTCGAAAAACGTCATATGGGAAAATAAAATCAAGAAACAAAAATATTGAAAACCGAAAATTTAAAAAAAAAGAAAATTGTAAAATCAAAGATTCGAAAACTCAAAAATCCAAAAACCGAAAATTTGGGAAATCGAAAAACAGAAAAGTAACAAAATTTAAAAGTCTAAAACTTGAGAAACCGAAAATTTGAAAAATTAAAAATCCTAAATCCAAAATTTGATGCACTGAAAATCGAAAAATTCAAAAATCCAGAAATTGAAAATTTCCCAAGACTGAAATATTGAAAAACTGGAAACTTGAAAAATCGAGATATCAAAATTTTTCTTTAAATCGAAAATGTAAAGCTTAAAAAACGGAAAAACTCTAAAATTTATAAAAAAGAAATTAACAAATCAAAGAATCGAAAAATTCAAAACTCGGAAAAGCTTGAACTTAAAAAAAATCGGATTTGAAATATCGAGAAATTAAAAAAACGAGATGTCGAAAAATAGGAAATTCGAAAAATCGAAAAATTAAATTTTAGAGAAATTGAAAAATCAAGAATTCGAGAAATCAAAAAATTGAAAAACTGAAAAATCCAAAACCAACAAGTTGAAAAATTAAATGGCTGCGAATTTTAAACATCAAAAATTTGAAAAATTTAAAATCAATAAAAAAATTGAAAAACTGAAAAATCGATAAATCCAAATATCAAATCATTGAAAAATTGAAAAATTTAAAATGCAGAATTTAAAATTTGGAAAATCGGAAAACCAAAAATAGAAGATAAAAAATTCGAATAACCGAAGATCGAAGAATCGAAAAATCGAGAAATTGAAAATCAAAAAATCGGGAAATCGAAAACTCGAAAAAACAAAAAATCGTAAATAAAGAAATCGAAAAATTGAAGATTCGAAAACTCAAAAATCCAAAAATTGAAAATTTGAGAAATTTAAAAAATTAAAAGTAACAAAATTTAAAAGTCTAAAACTTGAGAAACCGAAAATTTGAAAAATTAAAAATCATAAATCCAAAATTTGATGCACTGAAAATCGAAAAATCCAGAAATTGAAAAGTTCCCAAAACTGAAATATTGAGAAACTGGAAAGTTGAAAAATCGACATATCAAAATTTTTCTTTAAATCGAAAAATGTAAAGCTTAAGAAACGGAATAACTCTAAAATTTATAAAATCGAAATTAAAA